TTGACAACTGTTAGAATTCATATTATGGCAAGAACCAATCAGCTAAGTAAAGAGAAACAACAGTCCATCATTACTTTAAGAACTGAAGGTCAGTCAGTCTGGAAAACTTTGATTGTGTCCCGAGTGCAGTCGCAAGAACCAAACGCTATGATGAAACTGTCTCACATGAGGACCACCCCAGTCCTCTGCTGCTGAGGACACATTCATCCGAGTCACCAGCCTCAGAAATCATAAGTTAACAGTAGCTCAGATTAGAGCCCAGATAGATGCCACACAGAGCTCCAGTAGCAGAAACATCTCTACATGTTCAGAGGAGACTGTGTGAATCAGGCCTTTATGGTCAAACAGCTGCTAAGAAACCACAACTAAGGAAAAGCAACAAGCAGAAGAGATTTGTTTGGGCCAAGAAACACAAGGAAGGGACATTAGACCAGCGGACATTTGTGCTTTGGTCTGAAGAGTCCGAATTTGAGATGTTTGGTTCCACCTGTGACGCAGAAATGGTGAACAATGGTCTCTACATGCATGCACTGTGAAGCATGGAGGAGGAGGTGTGATTGTGTGGGGGGCTTTGCTGGTGACACTATTGGAGATTTATTCGAAACTAACGACACACTGAACCATCATGGCTACCACAGCATCCTGCAGCAACATGCCATCCCATCATTGATTTTTCAACAGCACAGTGATCCCAAACACACCTCCAGGCTGTGTCACGGCTGTTTGACCAAGAAGGAGAGTGATGGAGTGCTGACCAGATGATCTGGCCTCCACAGTCACCTGACCTAAACCCAGTGGAGATGGTTTGGGATGAGATGGAGCGCAGAGTGAAGGCAAAAGGACCAACAAGTGCTCAGCATCTCTGGGAAATCCTTCAAGACTGTTGGAAACCATTTCAGGTGACGACCTCATGAAGCTCATGGAGAGAACGCCAAGAGTGTGCAAAGCAGGAATCAAAGCAAAGGGCAGCTGTTAGGAAGAATCTAAAATATCAAATATGTTTTGAGTTATTTCACACTTATGTGTTCATTCATAGTTTTGATGCCTTCAGTGAGAATCTACAATGTAAACAGTCATGAAAATAAAGAAAAAACATTGAATGAGAAGCTGTGTCCAAACTTTTCACTTGTAGTTTATGTCAAAACAAAAGTTAGTAAATATATTTGTCTTCATTATCAGTGGCTGCAGCCCTATAAAAAAAACTAATTAATGTTAGTGGGAACTGACTAAAGGCTGACAGACAAAAGTTATGGACGTTTTTGTCATTAGTTATGTTAGTGTAGTGTTTGTGTGGTGGGATTAATATGAAACTGTATGAGTGCATGCCGTCACTGACCTGTTTCATTTTAGCCAACTCTCGGCGCGTGTGCTCATCATTTCGCAGGTCTTTCTTGTTTCCCACAAGAATAATGGGCACATTGGGACAGAAGTGCTTCACTTCTGGAGTCCACTTCTCCGGAATATTCTCTGCATCAGGTACAACGTGGACAAGGTAAACATGCAGCAGATATAAAAGAGTTTTTAAATTGTTTTTTTAATGAAACCAACAGAAACAGGCTCACCTAAACTGTCAGGGCTGTCAATGGAAAAGCACATGAGGATGACATCTGTGTCTGGATATGACAGAGGCCGCAGTCGGTCATAGTCCTCCTGACCTGCTGTGTCCCACAAGGCCAGCTCCACCTGCAGGGGAGGGACTATAGTTAACTCCTACTACACACACCAATTCTGCTTAGGGTCATCAAACACAGGCCCATTTTTATCATGTAACAGCATGCTATGAAGACAGGCGGATGGAAGCCATTCAGGCATGTATGTAAGTGCATGAGGTGTAAATCATTGATTAGTGTTCTAGCTTACACAGAGTCCTAAAATCGAGGGCATGAGCACTCGACTGATGAAGGTGCAGACAAACTTAAGGGGGCGACAGCAGAGAAGAAAAGAGCAGCACAACCCACCAACCTCTAGGTGACATCTGCCCCCAAGATCCTTGTTTGAGGAGGCAGACATTCTCTCAAGATTAATGTGATCTACACGTAATTTCTATACTGAGTAACGCATTGATAATTGTTTTGATTTTGCATTCATAGATAGTTTGGATGGACAGGCCTCCCTCCAGTTTTACAACTGGAAGGGAAATGGATTCATTTTTGTTTGTTTTCTTGCTAAGCTGTAAAATTATGACCCGGCTCCAGATCATGTTTTGCTTGATCAGTGAATCCAAAGCGTGAGCTGCACAGATGCTGCAGGTAAGATGCAGTATTACAGAAATTCAGTTTGAAAGGGTATGTACACGAGTATGTACAGTTAGATATAAACAGAGATTTAAAACTGGTAATAGGAGGTGGTTAGTTTGTGATGTGCCTCATTATGCTGAACTAAATTCATTGCTCTTGTATCGAAGTTTGACTGGCCTTAACACTTTGCATACAGCAGGTAAAATAAGTATTGAACATGTCACCAATTTTCTAAGTAAATATATTTCTAAAGTTGTTATTGACATGAAATTCCTACCGGATGTTGGTAACCATCCAATCCACACATACAAACAAGTCAAACCACTGATGTCCATAAATAATGTATATAATGTAAAATAAGCTCTCTTAGACCTTTGCAACCATACTGATGGAATGGGTTACAGGAGAATTTCTAAAATACTGAAGGATCCAGTAAGTACTGTTGGGGCCATGATCTGGAGGTGAAAAGAACATCATTTTACCATCAACGAGCCACGACCAGATGCTCCCCACAAGACTTCAGACAGAAGAGTGAAAAGAATTAGAGCCAAGAGCCAAGGAGCACTTATGGAGCTACAGAAAGTTTGCCTGTGAAATACTGGGAAAGTTAGTCTGGTCAGATGATACCAAACACACACCGTGCTGGGAGGTCACAACATATCGCCCCACAAACACCATACCAACATTGAAAATTGGAGGTTGGAACATCATGGTGTGGGGATGTTTTTCAGCATACGGCACTGACACGCTTTATGTCATTGAAGGAAAGATGAATAGAAAAATGAAGCAAGACGTTCTTGATTAAATCTGCTGCCATCTACCAGGATGAAAGTGGACATTTCAGCAAGACAACACAGTCAACGAAACTGTCAACTGGTTTCAAAGAAAGAAAATAAAGCTGTTGAAATGGTCCAGCCAGTCACCTGACCTGAACCCAACTGAAAATCTTTGGAAAGAACTAAAGGTCAGAGTTCATAGAAGGGGCCTATGTAACGTTCAGGACTTGAAGACTGTTTGTGTGGAAGAATGGACCAAAATCACACCTGAGCAACGCATGTGACTAATACTATCTATTAGTGGTAGACTTCCATGTTAAAATTATTTATTGTTAAGCTTTACTCAAGGTGTACTTAAAGTAAACTCTGAACTTATTAACCACAGAAATCATCCGTGTGGCTGCATTTTGTGCAGGTGGCTGACCAAAAAGTTAAAAGCAAATTTTGCAGTAATGAATATCACAACTCTATCAGCTATATCTATATTAACACTCATAAAGCTATCCAAGATAGAGAAAATAATTAAAGCTAGTTCCAGCTTCAATATTAACATCAATCGATAGTTACAATATAATGTGCTATTTATGAAATTGGCTAGTGTTAAGGTACTTTAGATATGTCCTGTCTTAAAACTCTTAGCCTCACACATAGCACACACACTGCTATGCTACTGTGCTACAATAAATATAAAACAATCTGACATTTATTGTTAGAATGAACAGCTTACCTGTTTACCATCCACCTCAATATCTGCCACGTAGTTTTCAAACACTGTAGGCACATAGACCTCCGGGAACTGATCCTTGCTGAACACTATGAGGAGGCAAGTCTTGCCACAGGCTCCATCACCGACTATCACCAGTTTCTTTCTGATTGCCGCCATCTGAAAAAAGTCAAAGTACAGAATCCATCAGCCAAGCTAAAGATTTAAATTAACACAAAGGTTTATTGCCAAAGACAAACTTGTTAGGGTGAGTGGTTTGAGCTCTTGTGAAAACACAAAATCAGTGAAATAAGAAATCTGAAAAGGTGAAAAAATACTACGTAAAACTAAGAAGAAAATAATGTGTGCTTGGACAGAGCTGAAGTAAGGTCCCTAAAATGTTTGCACATTTCTCACCAATCACAAAATAACTTCAACTGTAATGTTTCATCACAGCTTATTTTGAACGTTAGGCAAAACAGTTCTAGCTTTTGTCAGTTGTGGTTATTTTCTGTCTTTGCAGGTAGAGTGCCTGATGAGGACATTATTAATGTCCCTCTGTAACTAAACCAGATACAACTGTATCAGAGAGCCACTGCTTTGCCTGAAAATGGAATGCAGGGATTTGTAAAACATTTAAAGCCTATAGGCCCGTTCACACACTCTGAAACACATTCTTTTCTATTGCTTGTGCCGCAAAATAACGGTTTCCTGCAGAGTGTGAGCACTCACACGTGTCATGGTCAATCCTCAACAGTTGAGCTTTGAAAACCGTGCGTTGTGATGTATGGTTGCAACACCAAAAAATAAAAACAAAAAAAGTGTACAGCTGCATGAAGTTCAACCACACAATGAATGAAAACATGGAAGAAAAGTTTATCCAAGTCTGAGAATTATATTCCAAAACTTCCTTTAAGGGTCCCAAGGAGGAAAGTGGTGCTGAATCATATTTTCCCTAAATTAGGCACAACACAGGTTTGTTAAAAAGAATAAAGAAGCTTGCTGTATCTAGGTAGGTGGACTAGTTTTTCAATACAGCAGGTAAAATAAGTATTGAACACGTCACCAGTTTTCAAAGGGAAAATATATGTAAAGGCGCTACTGACATGAAATTCTTCCCAGATGTTGGGAACCATCCAATCCTTTGTGGATCAGACGGTTCCCTGCAGGAAAAGACTTATCAGAAGTGTCGTCCAAGAGCCAAGGACCACCACAGAATTTGAAGAATGTTTGTGTTGAAGAATGGGCCCAACTCACACCTGAACAATGCATGTGACTAGTTTTTCCAGACAGGAGGCATATTGAGTCCCAACTTGACATCCTGCTATTATGCATTCTGTATCTTAGCTGTTCCTAGGACTGCGCTCTTCTCCTGGAAAGAGGTCTCAGATGTTGTTCCTGGAATGTGCTGGATTCCAGGAACAACACTCACCAGGTTTTATCCTGGTACTATGTGTTTCACAGTTTCCAGGGTCCCTTTGCACAGTCTGTAACTTGGGTCCTGTCAGCTGTGACAGTCGCCTTTATGGATCTGGTGCTTAGATCCATAGAGGCATGTGCCATGATCACAGCCTCTGCGCTGTCCTGTAGGCCGGCCTCTTCTAGGAACTGGTAGGATTTCTTGATGTCATCCACTTCCTTCATCCGTCAATGGTACATCACACCCAGGGGCTCAGTCATCCATACTTCCTCTTCCTCATCACTCTCCATCTTCAGCTTAGGCATTCTTGGAGCAGCTAAACTCAGGAGGTCATTTTCCTGATGTATTTGCAAATGTGTTGTTTCATCAAGGATTGAAGTTCTGACACTTACTAATCCTCACCTTGCCTGTTTCCATTGCTCGCAGAGGCTCGAAGAGCTCGACTTCAGGTGAAGACCTGCAAGGACTGTGAGGAGTTCTTGTTATCAGTGACATATCTTCTACTGCGGCTACCTTACTAGTGGAGATGGGCATTAGATGAATAGTCGGCCATATGTATTGATGACTTGGATGTTACTCATTTTGGTCAGCTAGCTTCCAAGATCCGTAAAAAAAAAAAGAAAAAAGTATTTATTTATTGACTGATTGATTGATTTGCAGTCAACAGAAAGAAAAATAATAGCGCTGTTTTAACAGCACCCTCTTTCATCTGTGAGCAAATGCACCCTCCTCAGAGTGCGCCCAAATGCTTGTTGATGGAGCTGCAGAAGCTGGTGATAGCCTAGCATACTCAGCCGGATGGTGGACACGTACATGCTCATGTAAGTTAGCCGTGTTTGAGTACTTTGCTCGCACTATACGTCTGCACAAGCGGCACACCGCTTTGGTTACATCCTTAGGTTTACCTCTGTCATCTGGTTTAAAGCCAAAGAAATCCCGAACTGGCGACTTTATATTTTTTTAGTGCTTTCAGCGTTAATGTGCCATCATCACAACTAACGCAATGAACAATTAACTCATCTGGAGCGCAGACTGAATTAAAATCCCTGAAATGTCTCTGTCAACGCATTTCAGCAGTTAGTCCAAAGTTTGTTCATTCTGCGCTCCAGATGGGTTGAGCGCATTCAAAATTTTAATCACGTTAATCATGATTAGGGCTGACAGCCCTAATTTTGGGGGGGAATTAGTTTGTCCATGTTTGGCCTTCTTCTGTATTGTAAACATGCAAATCAGTCCATGATTACATTGCTCTGCCCATCAAAAAGTCTGCGCATGTGCCTTAAAAAACCTTAAAAATGGCTTTGTAACCATTTCCAGACAGATGTCAGTTACTTTGTTTCTCAACTCTTTTTGAGTTTCTTTAGACTTTGGCATGGTTTGTTACTTTTTGAGATCTTTTAGCCTACTTCACGTTGTGACACAGGTTGTATTTAAGCAATTTCTTGATTAAACTGGTCTGACAGTAATCAGGCCTCGGTGGTGAGTGAAACTGAATTCAACTCAAGGGGGCCAATAACTTTTTCCCCACAGGGCCAGGTAGTTTGGGTTATTTTTTTTCCTTTGATAATTGAAATTATTAAAAACTAAATTTTATTTTTCAACTTCCCAAGTTATTTTGGACCAAGCTGCCTTTTTAGAAAAATGAATCTATTGAACTAATCTCTTACATAAATAATTATGAGTTTTGCTAAAAGCATTAGTGGGCATGTTTTTATTACATATGACAACCATGTCAAAAATTAAACTTCTTATAGTATTTTTGGTGTGTGTGTGTGTGTGTGGCAATAACACTGAACACATCACTACACAATAAAGTACAGTTATGATAGCTAAGACCAAGTTTCTGTCCTTTTGGCTAAATATGGCACCCAATATAAATACGTTGGCTCACAAATGCCACAATTTGGCTTTTAAATTGTCTCGATAAACCCATTCAAGCGCAGTGACTCTTCTTTATCCAAAGCGGTAATTTCAGGGTGTATTTCTGTGACATCACTATTTCCTGAAGGTTCAGACGTCCGCTCAAACGCAGTTCAGTAAAGGCAGACATATTTTGAGTACATCGATCTCCTAATTAACTTTCCAGTTATACTATAAACGACTAGTCTTTTCTGTAAATACCTATACGAACCATTAACTACTTCACAACAAGATAGTTTACCGTTATACACTGCTGAGAGTTTAAGCCTCGGTTATCTGGGGATTTTGTAGTATTATGCTGCTTTAGAACTTCACTTCCTTAATGATACTTGCCTCCGATGGAGGGGGCACTTGTAACTCAGCTCAACGCTGGTGAAATGAAGTTACATAAAACTTGGCATGCTAATGTTTCCTCAGTTCTGAAGTAGCCCGTTGACCTCTTTAGGTCACCAGAGTGTCGGCTAACTTCTACCTAGCTGCAGTTTCCATTTCGTCTACGGAAGCTAATCATTAGCTTGCTAACTTTGCTTACTTCTTCATGATAGCTGGCCTCTTGTCGACCTAAACACACACACTTTAAAGAAGGAAGCATATTACTTGATACCAGCTTCAACGCTAGGAATTTTAAAAAGCAAAGGGAAATTCTGAGCAATCAGAGTTTTACCTTTTTCCTGCGAGATACTCGCCTTTCTTTAGTTTTCCTGTCAGAACTAACAGTCCCGCCCCCGAAAGCGCTACGAGCCCGGCCAAACCACATACTTTCAGCCAATAGGATACGTTGAAGTCATGAGTGAACGGCAACTTAGCCAACCAAAATAATATATTATGAAACGTCTCCATGCATTGTTTAGCCCTAACCGAGAGCCTGAAAGGTTTTGCCCCTGAGTACAGCCTCCCAGGGATGTTCGTGTATATAGCGCAGTTGGTATATAAAGCATTTCTCTATTAAATTACATGAAACAAGGTTAGCTGACACCCACAGCATCCCCTTCATCGTTTCTGAAGTTCTATGTTATTGATTCAATATACTGAAGCGTCACCGCTGATAGCTCGTGTTGCAGATGTATTACCCTGTATATTACGCACACAAGTTAAAATTCTGGAGAGCACATATGAATTTTTTCAAGTGAGTCGGGGCACTGAAAGTCAAGACTGTATGTATGCGAAGAACATATTGTTTTCATAATTACTCTCAAACAGCCAGACATGTTGAATAATCATACTGAAAATGGCAAACAACACGAAAGAATCAAAGAAACAAGGCCAGGCCAGTGCCTAAATGATGAAACATCAGTTTTGAGATTAAGGAGGTTTGCACCTCAGTCACTGTCGTGTCTGTAGCAGCATAGGAGCAACGCTGGTTGCTCTGTCAGTCTGTTGTTCTGATGATGATGAGAAATGGTTTATTTATCCCAAATCTTATTTGGAAAATAATCTTTCCCACTTTAAAACAACAACATACACATACAATATTCAGGAATTATTAACATAGGGATTGGTTGTCACGTTGCTGGTTGATATCACATTAGAGGGAACCGTGGAATTTTGTCAATATCACACATTTAACCTGACAATCTGTCCATTTTCCAGTGGTCAATTTGTGGAAAATACACAAAACTTTGAGGGGAGGATGTATTCTAAACTTTTCATGAATCGGCATAATTTTTTGTGCTGTTTTGTGTTAAAAGACTACACAATATTAGTCATTTTAAAAATCTGCACTTCTTAAAAAGCCGGAAGTAATAACTTTTGAATTAACTGATTTGAATCAGTTTCTCAATGATGCAGTTATCAGAGACTGCCCCATCAGGAGAACTGCCATGAAATCCACTGTCAGATAAAAACAGTCCCCTCTTCTTGATAACTGCACCAGTGCAGTCATTGTACTTGCTTGCCCTTTGGATCATGAAGTCACACACTTTTGGGGGTGACAATATCACTTAGTCTGCACTGACCACTTGTTACTAGCAGCTTACTTTAGATCATTCTGTTAGGTTATACTGGCCAAGCTGAGTGTTAAATAAAGAAGGCAAACCCAAAGTTGCTCAGCACTCCATCAAATATCTTGGTGGGCAGAGTTTAGATTTAAAGCAAAAACAAACACAATGTGACTCAGCAAAGGTTTTAATGGGACCAAGCAGTTTTGACCACATACAGTAGACAAAGTCGAGTATAGAGTATAAATAATATATCTTACACAGCACAGGACCACCAGTGTCTATGCAACTGGCCTTGTGCTGGCCCATGTGTGGGCCACCTCTGGCAAACCAGGTCTGGGCCACCAAAGGGCCGTCATTCTTTGCGGTATGTGGGCCATGTTTAAGCACATTGTGTGGGACAGATCCGGGGCCATACCAATTTTGCTATGTGGGAGTGGATGTTAGTCCTCCCATGCTACGCTGTCAGTCAGTCCAACCAGATTAACCTGTGACACACCCTTACCTGGATTCATTCTGACCAGATTTCAGATCAACACTTCCTGTTTCATGATCAACACACCAGACACGACCTCTGCAGCTGTCAGTGTTTTTGTCTACTACACTCTTAGAAATAAACTATGGCATAAATAAAATGTCATCACGTGTTTATTTCACTTGACTACATTTAGGATGATTTTATAAACGTATTCACAAAACCACAGGCATTGTGTTTAACAGAACATGATGCTGTTAACAGTATTACAATAATAATGTTTCTTATGAAAAACAGTAACTCTGAGGGGAGTTACTGATTATTTAGCCTCAGCACAGTCCATCCCCACAGCAAACCCATTTCAAATGAAAGACAATCCTATTGGTTTATTGATCATCAGTGATCATCGGTGCTTACCTCAAATAAATAACCTTAAATGAATTAATGAGAAAAAGGCTAATTGATGCATTAATTATAGCGTGATAGACTTTTTTCTGTTTGGAGACAGTTGACTGGTGGGCTGATGTCTGGTGAGGAATCATTCTGTGGAGAGGAGGAACTGTGATTTGTCTGCTTTTGGAGACCCAAGCCTGTATCATTGCTCCCCTTGTTATCCTGCAAATAAGCTACTGAACTTCTAGCTTGGAGTCCTGCGTGAGTCCTATCTGCCTGAAAGGTTATGACACTTATTCTGAATAGATGTAGCAAACTTTCTAAGGAAGATATTCAGTCGGACTGTTAAGATGTATGTGTGATGAAATATTTCATTTATTTAATAAACGCTATATAGTGTTGCATATTGTTATTTTGATGAGGACTAAATTGAAAAGAACGTGCATTACTTTTGGAAAACTTCATGGTCATAAGAAAAATAGGAAGGAACAAAATCATCCATCCATCCATTCGCTACCACTTATCGTTTTCACGGTCGCTGGGTGCTGGAGCCTATCCCAGCTGTCTTTGGGCGAGAGGCAGGGTACACACTGGACAGGTCGCCAGTCTGTCGCAGGGTTAACACATAGGCAGGAACAAAATCAGTCGTGCATTTCATTATTTTATAATTTAGTTGTGTGCGTTTATCTGTATGTGCTATCATACACTGACATCATGATGTGTAACTGTAACGTTTGCTGATTTTTTATTTATTTATTTTTTATTCCATCAGTTTTTGCATTTTTTTCCTTAGCTGATGAATGTACCCATTTACACTATTTATAAGACATGAACGTTTGGAGGAAGAAAAAGTGGCTGCCTATTTAACGATCTTTAAGCGAACGAAAATAAAGTCACATATTAAACATTTGTACTTTTCGATGATTCAGTGACACTGAATTTAACAACTTGTGGGTGTGTATTTCTAAAAAAAAAAAAATAACAATGCATATTCAATATTATGTGGACTGGAGCCGGTGTATTCAAAATTACACACATCACTGTACAAAATCACGCAGATTTTAAGTTTTGTGATTACGTGGTTACGTAATACGCTTTACATTGCATAAGCCAATAAGTAACAAGTTGGCGAATACAACGTTTGTCATTGGCTGGTTCAAAACAGTGGCAAATTTAAACGCTTCCGTTGAGCGCTGCGCGGCTTGTTTGTTTTCCCTTTCAGTCGCAGTGAGCAAAGACGGTGAGTTTTTGCACTCATTTACATTATTTATTGCTGCCTTATTTTCAGATGTAGTTTTTTAGTGAGCGGTATATAGTGTTGCATATTGTTATGTGTATAATGGAGTGAGTTTATAGTTGGATTTATGTTAATAGTACCTTCTCGTGAAGACGTATGTAACGCTAGCTCGGCAGTTGTTTCTTTCTCAGCAATGTTACCGTTTATATTCTGTTTCTATGAAGAAAAAGCGACTCGGAACCGCAATTACAAAGCTAACGTGACATTACTGTGGCATAAATTCTCTTAGGAGACGAGAAGTAAATGCTTTTGACCTTTTCCAGCCAGTTTGCTCTGTTGTCTTGGCTAACACGGCCAATAGTCTCCCATGAAGCCATAGCGATAGAATGCAACCTAGCCGTGGTTTATGTGGGTGCAAGTCACCTCAGTTTGGTTGTTGCAAATAAAACTGTTTTTTTTTTGTCTGAAAGTTTGATAATTTGAAGTTTGCAATCTTCGTAGTTTCCTGTTTGGTGAGTTGTCGAAGAAATAACTTGAAAACATGGCCGAGAACGAGTCCGGGGATACTTCGGAGCGCTACGAGTTTGATGCCCCGTCCCACGTCGTTGACTTCAAAGAACTAGTGAATGCTGAAACCGACGACAAGTGGTTTGGTAAGTGTCCTCTGGACATCTTTATCCAACAATATGCATTTTAAAGGATACCCTGCTGGGCATACAGCAAGTGGGTGTTGTTATGGAGGGCTACAAAAGCGGATCTAACAGGCAGCGATCACTTTTTGAAGAAGGCTTTTTGGTGACTTGTTTCACAAAAACCTGTGTACGTCATTCCTACCATTTGCCAGTATCCTTTATCATAGGATGTTGGCTAACAGTTTTGACCAAAGTGTCCACTCGCAGGTCATATTGTCATCTCCAAGTGTTTTGAATGTAGAGAGAGAGTTTACGCTGAGGAGGTAGAGCAGGTCATCTTTATTTGGAAAGTTGGGGCTCTGATGCTGGGCTGTTCCAGTCTGTTTGCCTAATATCCTTGGGCAAGATACAAACCCCAGGTTGCTCTCTGATGCATCCATTGGGGTACTAATGTTTGATTTGTTGCTTGTGTGAATGGTTGAATGAGGTGGGTTTTATAGAGTGCTCAGAGCAGAAAAGCGTTGTAGATGAACCAGCCAGTTCCTCATTTTACTATTTAATTTCATATTTACAAGAGCTTCAGTGTCCCTGCATATGTATTTTAAGAGTGTTGTATTATATATATTAAAAAAAAGATCTGTTTTGAAGCCTGTGTGTATCTTTTACATTGAAAATGAGTTTTATTGAAATTTAGTCCAGTTTTTTAAAAGATTTGTCATGTTGGGTATTTGGTGACTGTGGTGTTCATTTACCTGTGGGATTCCCAAGTACTTTTAACTTTCCTTGATATCTGCAATGTTGCTTTCTGGTAGTGCAACCCACTCGATTCTGACTACCTCCCCTCTCTTTATAACCGTCCAACGACACATCTGCAGTCTGGATTATATACCTGTGTCACTACTGTAGATCCTTGTTGTATAGATCAGTGAATCAATGCCACGTTCACTCCTTGAATACAGCTTCGTGTCCTCCATGAAGCGAAGGTGGCTAACCTCAACTCCATTCTGTAGTCTGTATCCCTAGCGAGTCTTGTTAATGGTCGGGCTGAGGGGGTTCAGGCCTGTGAAGAACAGCAGTGGGGACAGAGCTTGAAGTTAGCCTCTAGGTGCTGTTTGCCACATCCCCATCGAATTCCCGATGATGTATATAAACACACACCAGTGATTGCTCTTGGAATGGCAGTGCATTGTGGTTTGTTGCCTCATAATGGTTGCAAAACCAAAACAAAGACATCAACAGGGCCCTATTCCAGGAAGCGTGTTCAACAAACTATCACAACTAACTGTGAGATTGGTAACTCTGGCATTCTTCTGCAGAGCAGGGTCTCCATTGTAATCCAGAGGACTAGGGAATATTACCACGTGTTAGTCCTGACTGTGGTGTTTTGTAATTGTTTTCTAAAAACATTTGTTGTGCATTTTATGCCTCTATTGGATAGATTAGCAATGAAGACAAGAAAGTAGAGAGTAGGGGTGAAGACATGCAGCAAAGGGCTGCAGCTGAAGCATGCGTCGCTGCACTCTGGCCATGTGGCCAATGGTTTGTTGGTCTCTCACTGAGCTAACCAGCACGTCCTGACTGTGATATTTAAAATAGGAGGGAGGAAGAGTCGTTTTTAGCTTGGGTCAGATCAGCAGCACTCGAGGTCAACAAACTACTATAGTGTCTTTTTGTTTAATGGCGTTTGATCCTCTATTTCACGGCTATTCAACTAAAAAGTTATTTGGGCCAGATTATTATTATTTATTTTTTTGTAGAGATATTTTTGCAGCCAGTAGCAGCAGATCATGATAAATTTCAAACCAACACAAATGTATTGAAAAACAAGTAATGTTTATTCACTTTTTTCCTTTTAAATCTGGTGACCTCTCACAAATGCACACCTAAAGGTCCATAAAAAACATTAAATGATCTATCACTGAATAGCGTCTGCAGTAGTAGCAATACTTTTTCTTCACATTTGAAATTATAAAAAAACACAACAGACGTTTTGACAATTCCCTTTCAAAATAAAATAAATATTTAGGTGACTCAGACACATCTTAAAGAGCATTTAACAGAATTTAAAAAAGAACAATCAATCCTATCAAATGCACAAACCATAGCAGTAACACATATGAATACAACATTTACTGCTGCACACTGAGGGAATACAGGTTTGTTTTAAATCAACACCTGTAATTAGGCATGGCTTGTTAGACATTCCACATTATGTTGATATGTAGGCTGCAGTTACTCTTACATTATTAATGTTGAGACGTGACTTTTTTTTCTGAACAAGAGTGGCAACTTTTGGCTCGTAAGATGTCAGTGCAATCCAAAGGCAGTGGTGAAGTGTCAGTCAGTGAACAACTAGAGCTGCTTTTTATTGAGTTCATGTGTGAAAAGCTTGATTCACATGTGTACGTTGACCCAAACATACTAAGGATGACGACTGCTACTTTTTTAACATTAGGGAACTGGTGCCATGATAGCTTAATGTTTACAACATCACGCTGCATTGTGGGTTGAATGTTGCTAGCCTACTAGGAGTGTTGCATTCACAGTCTACACTATGCTGTAGGGAAAAAAATTCTGCCAGGACCACAGGCAGGGCCACTCAGAGGTTGCTTCTGGGCTGCATGTAGCCCGTTTGCCACCATTTGAGTAGGCTTGCTCTAGTTGATCGTCAGTCCTGAGGATTTGACTGAGCGTTCCATTTAAAGTCCGACTTTATTAGGTTAATGTTTTCTTTTCCTCCTAAACTGGAATGGCCCCTCAGGTGGGATTTCTAACTAAAAAAGTGGGGCTTTACAATCGAACCTGTAGTGTACTAGTGACCAGAATTGAAAAATTTTGACTATCGAATCTCTCGTGGGCAGAAATGCACGCTGTGGGAGAAAGTGATCATCTTATCACACCTTCGAGACCGGACCAGCTGCGTCTGACAAGTGATGAGCCTGAGCACGCAATGTTGTCTCAAACAAACACTGATGGTGACTCTGGTTAGTCAACACCCCTGTGCATCTTTAGTCATTATTTTCTTTGCTTGTAACTTGGTTAATGTGTGACTATCTGTAATTGTTTTTATGTTCCAGGTCCCAGCATATCGGCATCTCCACCTGCAAACATTGTGACGTCCTGGGGTGCTGAACGTCGCACACAGAATGATGTCCGTTCAAAGCAAAGGCCTGTTAATAAAGTCCCTGCACAGCCACGCAGGTACAGTTGGTGTAGTTGTTACTTTTGTGTAACCATGTGAAACTTTCACACAAAAGGTTTCTTTCCCACATGAAGCACTCAGTAGAAGACTTGTTGGGTTTTGCCAAAGGGGCTGTACACGAGACAGCACTCATGAAACTCTGACATCCAGTCATTCATTGACAGTTTCCTGTTGTATATCATTTGTATTAAATAGGTTCTACACAAACCCTACATGATAAATATGGACAGATACTTTATTGATCCCACAAAGAAAAGTGTTTTGTTACAGCAGAACGATAAAGAGTAAAAATAGTCGTCACAATAAAAGTGCCACTGGTGCCGAGTGCAGGAAGGAAAGAAGGTGAAAATGAAGCTGGTTCAAAACAGTAAACGTAAGACTGACATTGTGGAAGAGACAAGTGCAAATGCATTAATAAATACTATATAAATGTGTGGCATTGCATGTATGTATTGGCAACTCCTCTAAGTGGGTGTGCGGTACTCTTTGTACCATGCAGAGTCCAAACCTTAAACACTGCAGCTTCGCTGTCTGATCCAGCCCCTGTGTAAAAACACGATGGTTATAGAACAGCATCTGTGTGTAATCGGTTCAAGTTTGAGAACTGCTTCTGTTCTAATTTATTTTAGAGTTTCAAAGCGTAAAGAGATGACCAGTGGTCCAGCTGCACCACCATCAAAGAAATGCAAAGAGTGAGTATTAGAAGTATCCTGTCATCATTCTAAACCTGAAAAAGCTGAGAGTCCAGCACATGCACACTTTCTACCAGTTAGAAAGCTAAGAAACCATCTCTTCACCTTCAGCTTTTTTCTTAGAGTTTTCAGTTACAGCGGTTTAATGTAGATGTCCTGTTGCCCAAAAATCCAGGAGTGAGCAGCTGATTTCCGGGTTTGGTCCCCGCAGGAGTGAGCGGCTAAATTCAAAGAGAGAACATCAGACCCACGCAGCAGCTTCCACCTCCACACCCACAGAGTAAGACTGTGCCTTACACCTTTATCTATCCTTGAATGTACAATGAGAAAGAACTTGAAATTAATGTTAAAATGCTCTTGGCTGGAAATGTTCAGCATTTGTGTAGAATGATAAAGTAAAACTGGCTCATATGTATTTACTTCATGGTAGAGCGAGCGGTTTTAAGACAGCTAAAAATAGACGGCAGGTTCCACGTTTGTAAGCAGGACTGAGGGTGAACTGATACTGGTAACAGAAGGAAGGCTGGAGAGTATAAAACTAGAGAAAAGGATGAAAATCAAATATTTGTCAGTCTTAAAGTGGTTATAAACAGAGAATCTGGACTTGTGAGAAGTGTGTTCAGTCACATGACCTGACTCACTACCCTCGTGGGTAAAACATTATTCATGACTGTAAATATTAGACGGACTGCTTGGATCATCTGTCCATGGAGGGGAAAATGAAGATATGAAGAGAAACTTTTTTGGGGACCTGTGATCATACTGTGCAGCTTTATTTGAATCCCTGAAAGTAGTGATGTCTCTGTGAGAGTCTCACCAGTTTGGTCACCACCATGTAGCTTGTAGAGCACCCCTCACCTTACACTGCTGCCAGGATTAAAGCTTTGAAAGCAGGGACAGATACATGCATTTTGGATCTGGCTGGGTAAATAATGCCACCGTGTCGGAGGGGAACAACCATAAATTGTTCACTGTTAAAGCAAAGGTAAGTGCTACATAATGGCTAAAAGACCCACCATACATTAATCTTGTGTTTTGTTACAGTGTGTGGCCAGAAAAATGTGCGTTTGTCACATTAGTGTCGTGTCATAAGTATTTTTCCATTGTCAGGTAAATCATTCCCACAGTGTAAATGAGCTGCTACTGACAGCCTGAGTTATTGTGGAGAAACGGGGATTTGTGTGATTTGGCGTGTGGGGTGGGGTTAGAGAGTTAGTTGGTCTCCGGCTGTTTGAACTCTCCAGCCTGGTCGTTTTGCTTACTGCTGCAGTATCTGTCACTCCTGTGTGCGGCTGTTGTTGAGGCACAGGTAACCGCTGCAGAGTTCTCCTCCTCATGGACGGGTATCAGGCGATACAGCCACATCAGGCCTCACAAAAACAGGTGTTTATATATTTCTTCCTGCCTTTGGTTGGTTCTTAGCAATCTGTGACATTCAGGAGTCGCCTCATTGTTTTGAAAAAACTGACAACTACACTAAATGTCACAAACCCCTCACATCAGAAAGCTCGCCCTGTGTAGCTCTGCATCCGTCTGCTGCTGCCAAGTCACTTCTAAAACGTTCCCTCTTCCCAAACAGCCAAATGCCACAGACATTTATTTTGTGTCAGAGTAGAGATTTTATGTATACCTTATTTGATTTTGACCTTTGACTGTTCTTTGACTGACATTTGTAAAATGGAAACCAATGAGCAGTTCATTTTAAACCCTTTTTTCTCTTTTGATTATTGCTCATAAGTAAAAAATCATTTCTTGTCTGATTATGTGATTAATTGACAGGATAGGATGCTTAATAATTACGATGATCAATGGTTGCAGTCCTGTGTCCTCAGTCTGAGGGCTCGCCTGTCATGAAGTGCTTGAATTTCTCTTGTTCAGGTTTGTTCTGAGTACTGGGCTGACCTCCAGTACTCACATTGTAGGAATCCTTCTTTAAGACAGTACCCCACCCAAACATGTGGGAAGGTGGATGATGGTAGCAGGTGTAGTGTCTGGGATTTGGTGTAAATGAGTCCTTGAGCTTGAGCCAGTCGCCTTTTTTAGTAGTAGGGTCATGAAGAGAATGTTGACATGTTGAGTCTCTAAATGAGAGACGGGGGTACAGGTGTACTTTTACTAAAGATTAAAGTCTACAAAAATCTGTGACCCGCAGGCCGAGCACCTCTGAGGAGCTGGAGCTGGAGCGCATCAGGAACCTTCAGAAGGAAGTTGCTCTTCACCGGAAGAAGAATGAGGCCAGCTACAAGGCTGCTCTAGCTGGGAGTGAGTACATGTTTCAGACTGTGGTGCTGCAGCCAGTTGTAACACTCTAACTCTAGAACTGCCGACGGGTACGTTTGACCCTTTGGCATTAAAACAAAACGAGCTGTGAAAAATAAAACCCCATCATTTTTTTTTCATCAGCCTGTGTTTCCAAAAATATTCCTAAAATTTTTTTTTTTTGTGAATTAGTTTTTTAAGAGGGGAGAAATAGTACGACCACGCATACTCTGAACTGTCAAAGATGTCATTGTGACCCATAGAGATTAAAGTAAAATGAAAGTGTTGCTAGGCATGCTGGGTGAACTGAGCAGTCAAGTGTGTGGAGAACTAATCCAATCAGATGGTGAGGCAGATGTGTCAGAACTGAGCTGCAGTGTGGGTGGTGCTTCAGGTCCGATCAGCAAAGACGATGTGAAGGAAACGGATGAAACTTGACTGTTTTACTTTTTATAGAAATTAAATGTTTCTTACATTTTGTAACCTGCTCTGTGGTTAAGTTTACAATGCAGACAGTGAGTTGATCGGTCTGTTTAACAGTGTTTTCACACCTCTATTTCAGCACATGTACTACCACATGTTTAACTTTTCATAATGTTCTTATTCAAGTTAATTGTTTAGGTGTCAGTTTTATGTGTTGTACCCTTTGTTTATTGGTTTATTCTCATGTGCATTTTTTTTTTTTTTTGTGTCCCGTTTGGATCTTTAGCCATCAGAATTGTTGTCTTAAGGCCAAGAAAGATGCCAAGCGGATTTATTTTACCAAGTGGATTATCATGGCCTTGCCATATTGGTCCATTTGATTGACCTTTATTATAATTATGAATTTATTTTATTTTCGGTTGCTACAAACGGGACAGACATGACTGGGGGATAGGACAGGGAGAAAGAATGAAAGAAAGAGAGGGAGAGAAAGAAAACCAGAGGGGAGAAGAGACTGTGAGAAAGGAGGGAAGAAAGAAAGAAAAACAAACAAAACACCTGGATCACCTGTATGGAGAAAAAAAACAGAAGAGAAAGCAAACAAAAAAAGAGCAACATAATAAATACAACACCATCACAATAAACTAGCTAGCAGTAGATAACAGTAGATACTAAATATTAAACGATATTGTGCAGCACGCAAGATAGACAGCGCACAATGTGCTTTGAGCCAGCAGCCAAGAAAGGTGTAGTCCGTGTCTGTGAACACCGTGTGTACACCTGTGTGCACACCTGTGTGGATCAGCATGCTGGTATTCCAAAGGTTTCTCCATGTAACGATCTGCTAGGGAGTGTGGGGAGCCATAGCCCCGTCCCCCAGGGTATGAATCAGGTATGGAGGAGATCCAGGCCCCAGATATCCAGAGGCCCCAGAGTACAAGGACCTGAGGAGGACCACCAAAAGGGGGGGAACCGTGCCACCCTCCTGGGAAGAGCTGAGTAGAGCCCCAAACGAGAGGTCACCCAGCAGCTACGGTGCAGAGGTCAGAGGGGGTTGCAGTGGCGTGCCCGCGGGCTCTGCCGGCAGCCAGCTGTGACAGAGAGGACCGAGCTTCAGGCCCAGGGGCCTGAGGGCATCCCATACCCCGGAAGGGGCCCAGCTGGGCCACAGGCGCCACGCCCCACCAATCGGCCACCAGGAGTGAGCCGGTACATACATGAGCGCCCAGCCCCAGACGACAAGGACCACCAACACACCAACGTCTGAGGGCATCAGCCACTGGCAGGGAGTGTGGTGAGGGGAGATAGGCCTCCGTACTTTGGAGGGCCTGAGATGTACCCAGAGAGGTTGACTCTAAGACCCAACCTGACATATAGACACAGACGAACAGGCGCACGTGGACACAAACGTGCATTCCCACCCCATATGCACAACCAAATACTCGGCACTCACCCAACGTGTAGACAGACACAAATAGACACTGCACAGACAGTCACACTCCCCAAACATACTCTATATCCCAGGTCCAGGTACCCCCGCCCCCAGAGGGGCAAGCCACACCTAAACCCAGGAGATGTAACCCTTCTCTCTGGGGTGGAGACCACCTCCTTATCTGCAGTAGCAGGGAGGCCCCGCATCCCAGACCCCAATCTGACGGCCAGCACCTCCTCCCAGCCCCCCAACCTGACGGCTAACAGAACTGGGGTGAGTGAAGACCCCAAACCTCCCTACGCCCGCTCATATGTAGTGTTGCTGTGTGCTGTTCTAAAGTGCATTTAAAACACAGGAGAGCATGGTACTTGCTTCCTCTCATGTGCATTTTTAAAGGATCTGAGATGACCCAGAAACGCCGTCTTTGCCATTATTGTTGTTGCAGGTCAAAATGACCCCTGTTAGCAGTTCCGATGAGTTTAGAGTTCTGGGGGTTAAAAATGTTCACTTTACTTGTTTGGTTTAAAAAAACAAAACCAAACCACAGACCACTGTCATTTCAGATCCACCACCAAAGAAGACGTTCCTGTCTACAACTGTGCCCAAAGACTTCCACTTCAGTACAGATACCCGTGTTAAGTCCTCCACTTCATGCAACACAGAGAAGGAAGTGGACTTTGTCAGTCAGCTTCGCAAACCGTCCTCCCCAGTAAGTGGCACAACTTGCTTTATTGCCAGTTCATTGCAGCCCACTATAAAGTTAATCTTTGTTAACAGCAGCTAAAAGAAACGTGATGAAACATCTGCATATTTAAGCTAAGGTGAGATGAAAAAAACCTGATTATACTTGTTTTCAGGCAAAGGCTCGGAAAGGTGCCACAGTGCCCAAACCTTTCAACCTGTCAACAGGCAACAAGAGAAAGGCGGAAGAGGCGAGCGCTTATGTGCCCATGGCCCAGCAGATCAAGCAGTTCCAGAAGCGAACCCCCACCCGCTACCATATGCACAGTCGTAGAAGTCAAGAGAGAGGTGTGGTGCATGCTGACTCTCTGTGACACTCTTCAGATAAGGGTTTAAAAAACATTATTGCAGGTTTTCATTGTACCTGCGTCCTGTTTCAACAGGACCCGCCACAGCAAAGGGGAACCACCTGAAGCTCACTCAGCCCCACTCCCCACACCTGATGACTCGTCAGAGGAGCCGGCCGCCTACTGTTAAGTGCTCTGCTGAGCTGGAGGCTGAGGAGGCGGAAAAACTTGCAAAGTGAGAAGTTTGGCTTTTTCTGGTTGGAGGTTCTTGTAATGTGCCGTCACTTTGTGTTGGGAAACGTGGTTTCACAACAAATTTCTGGTGTTTTGCAAAAAACGTTGTATTTAAAGTGTCCGGGTGACCTGATCCAGTGCTAACTATAAGCAAAAAGGAAGATTTGAAGCCTAATCTTAAAAGTAGAGCGCGTCTGCCTCCTGAATCCAAACTTGTGTTTGAGGGGAAGGATTTTAAATCAGAATCAGGAGCCACTAAAGAGAAGCCAGTGTGTGTGTGCTCTCTTACTTTCTAGTTCCTGTCAGTACTTTTGGTTCAGTATTTAGCATCAATTGAAGGTTTTTCAGGCAGTGTTTAGGACAGCCTGAAAATAATGACTTACAATAGCATAGAAATAATAAATGCACTAAGATGTTTCAGATGAGCCATTGTAAACTTCCTTCTTTTGCTAACACATGGAAAATGTGGCATTGTGGCATTGCAGGGTTTCTTTAAGGACCGTTATTGTACAAAATACAGCTGATTATTTAGGAATCATGGATCCGTATGTGCATGGGTGCAGCTTCAACAGTTACAGAGGCCAAAATGCTGAAATGTGTTGATTGATGTGACGTGTTTTTGCCGCTACAGTTGTAGTTTGGTTGTGGCAGAAGCTACGTTTGGGTCACTTCACTGTGACAGCGTTACATTTTGATCTAGTGACCATTGACTAATGTTGGCTTTTAAACGCAGCTTTAAAATCAAGGCGCTGGAGCTGAACAGGAAGATACTGGAGAGTGCAGAGGACCTAAAAAAGCCAGCAGTGAAGGAGCCCACCGTACCCGAAGGCTTTGAGCTGGAGATTGAAAAAAGGCTCCAGGAGAGGCAGGCCACAAAGAAGCCCCAGGAGGATGATGAAAAGCCCCAGAACTTTAAAGCCAAGCCTCTGCCCAAAAAGGTTCTGGAAAGAGTTGTGGTGAGTTTAAACACTGATGAGTTTCAAAGTTGTTTTTTCATTGCAGAAAGGCAGATTTTACTGTGTGGGAATCTCATCAACAGGGACTGCCAGAAAAGAAAGTTGCAAATCCGACTGTTCCCGAGTCTCCTGCCTTTGCCCTCAAGAAGAGAGTTCGACTGGATCGCAAGGTCGAGGAGGTAAGGACGCGTGTCTTTGCTATGGCTCTGTGCACCGTCTACTGCAGCTATACCCATAAAACTGTCTTTGTCAGGTCAAGCAGCCGTCACCAGTTAAGGCCCCCCCAGTGCCTCACTTCGGCCTGCCCTTTCAGCCCCGGCTACCTGAGAACCACCGTGTGGAGATCTGTCCTTTCTCCTTTGAGCAGAGGGAGCGTGAAAGAAAAGCCTTGAGAGAGAAAAAGTTGGAGGAAAAGCGAAACGAAGAGGTAGTCTGACTTTCAGTCTGTCGTCGAGAGTTTCACAGTACAGAGTTACTGAGTGACTCTCTGTCGCCTGAATATTTTCCAGATACCACAGTTTAAGGCCCAGCCGCTGCCTGACTTTGACAGTGTGGTCCTGCCAGAGAAGAAGAAGCTGGAGCCTACCAAGCCTGAGCCTTTTAGGCTGCTTCTGGATGAACGGGGAACTGTGAAGAACAGTCGCTGGGAGCAGATGGTATGATGGGATTTTTCACTTTGTTTTCATTTTTTAATTTGAATAACACTCACAACATCTGTACCTCACAGGTGAAAGAAGAACAGAAACATCAAGAGGAAGCAGCAGTATTTAAAGCTCGGCCCAACACCGTCATTCACAAGGAGCCTTTCAGGCCCAAGAAAGAGGCCCGGCCTGCAGTGGGTAAGGATGGTTAATTTAGACTAAAACAGATCCTTTGTGTTATCATTGCTGTGATGCATGATGGGAGGTTGCAGCTGTATAGAGATCGTCTGTTGTGCTGTTGCCACATCTCCTTTCCTCAGCTGAATGCCACATTTTCCAAAATGTTCAAATGACAGTATGACAAACTATAAAGCATAAACTGCTTTATTTCTCTCTCTGAGGAATGTCAATGACAAATATGAGCGTTATATTGCTCTTAGCAAATCAGATTACCTGGAGACTCCACCTAGGCACAGAGGTGTTTGCTTCACCTCCATCTTCAGCTGACATGTAGAACGCTGCGATACAGCTGCAGCCACATGTCTGCGCTTTGTTGTTGCTGCGAGTATTCAGTGCAATTATCAGAAAAGTAGTTTTGAGTTTGATTATCAAACACTGGAGCCACATTTACTGGCTCTTGATAAATATCTCACTATTGTCTGATTGATCTGAGAATGACTAATGGATGATAAAAGTAATGGCAGGTGCAGCGCTGGTGTTGAATACTGTCTGAAAATTGCATGTGTCTTTAAGAGTGCTTCAGCTTTGCTGAGGCTGAACCACTCTTCAAGGTTGTGTCACTCACTGTGTCCTCTGTCTTCACTGTCATCTGTCACTGCACTCTGAAGGCAATAATTCTTCCATAGTTGTAGAGGCCTTTGAACTGGCAACAGAGCGGCGTGCCCGAGAGTGGCAGGAGTATGAGCGAGTGACCAGTGAGAAGGAGGTTCTGCGGGCGCACATGGAGGCAGAGCAGAGACGAGAAGAAGAGCAGAGACAGAAGGAGGAGGTCGCCCGGCTGCGACAAGAGCAGGTAACTGCAGAAAGTATCAGCAGCGCCTGGTGCTGGTGTGTGTAGATATAGAGCTACAGATGGATAGAAAAATGCATGTTTGGCAGCTCACACAGCCCCCAGTTTTGAACAAAGACTGTTAACACAACAGCAGCAGTGATGATGATGACGCTGGCACAGTTTAAGGTGCAGCTACAGTCTGTTTATACACTGCAAAGAGGCGGAGCTGCTACTGAGACGCTGAGCTCAGGTTAAGTGAAAGAAAACGATCGTCCAAAACAGCAGCGCTGCCATTGTGGTCACCATTAAAACCTTTACTGGGAAACTATCAGTGGAAGTCTTTGGTAACATTTGCACATTCCAGTGTTCTTCAGCTAACCCTCTGACTTGGACAGAGCACTGCTGGAAGAACATAATCAGAGATTTCAAAACCCCACATCAAGACAAATCTAAGAACCCAAATTCTGTTGGAGCCATGCAGTTCAGGTGATGCAAACCACAACCGTGTATTTTGGGATTTCCCCAAAACGTAAGCTGCATTGACATTCAGAACACAAAAACCTCCAAACTTTGAGACCATATATTTTGGTCATGTTCCTCACTTGATGCTGAGGAGGGATAGAAAGTTGCTGCATGCAGTACAAAGACTACTAGAAAGTGGCATGATGTAATATTGTAAATATTTAATATGGAAACGCTGCTTTTCATCAGATTTGGAACAAATAGATTTAATTTATAGCTTCTGCCTGAGCATACTTTTATAAACCCTGTCGTATCGCTCGAAATAAAATCACATTAAATAATGGTGAGATGTTGTCCTTAAAAAAAAAATAAATAAATAAATAAATAAAAAAATAAAATTTATTTATTTATTTATTTATTTTCAATGACAACTTAAATACTCAATGTCATTTTATTAACACAGCACCAATTCACAATAGTCTCCACAAGGTGCTTCATATCAAATATCAACCATAAGGCCGTGCCACATCCCAGTAGGATAACCTGTGTGACAGTTTGAGCTGGTCGTGTAAAACGCTGCACAGTCATCACAGGGCTCCGTGTAATTATACTGTATACTTGTATGTTATTGCTCTATCAGTACTTTACAGCCTGTCTGTGGTCTGACACATGTCACACTTTGCAGGTGCACAAAGCTCAGCCCATCAGACACTACAAACCTGTAGCTGTGAAGAAGAGCGAAGTTCCTCTTACAGTCCCGGAGTCTCCAAACTTCTCCGATCGCTTCCGCTTGTGACCACTTTTGTTGTGAAATGTAACGTTACCACAGAAATCTCTGACCTGAAATGTTGTTTTTACATTGCTTTTACATTTTTCTTTTTTCCATGTTTAGCTTTGTATTTTAGCTGTCTGATGTACACTCATTAATGTGACTGTTTTAAATTACAGAATAAAACATCATCTACACCCACCAATAGTTATTGGCCTGTTAACTGCTGAGTTTGTTCTGTCAGATTGTTTGACATCAGCACAAAGTCGCCAGTTTATTTGCTAAAGAGCTCTTTTTGTGATTGGCCAGGAACTGGAGTGCTATACAAATAAAAGACACTAAAACTTGTGCGTCCACGGGGAAGAATTATTACAAAGTTTAATATCTAAATTTTAACACTTGGCATCAGACTTCTCCTGGTTGACTGGTTTCCTGATGGTGCTCACAGCTGAACCACCAAACCAGAGGTGCTGTTTCATAAGACGAGCCCTCACTGAGCACTGCTGAGACTTTTAATCATCATTATTCTTAAATATGTTTATACACAGAACTTGATGGTTTTGGGTCAGACCATTCAGTGAGACTGAACCTCACTGTCCTACAAATTTAAGCTCATGAACATCAGTTTCAAGAATAAAAGTGAGCTGTGATTCCAATATGAAACTTCTCAGTGTGGCTTTTATCTAATACAGTACAAAACAGGCTTTGGAGTGTCTGAATAAAGCTGCTTTAGCTACAGTAAAGAGATATTTGCTGAAGTAAAATCAAGCAAAACAACTTATTTTTACAAATCAAAGGTAAGCTGCCTGTAATGAAGTTCAGCTGAAGACATGACTTGTGTTACTACACAAGCTGCCATCTGGATGGCCCAACAAAACTAATGGGTCCAAGCATTTACAGGCTTCCTATGCCTGACCCACGTTAGTTTTTGCAGCGTTACCTCTTTAAAAAAAACAGAACTGAGATCAAAGAAATACAAAATAAACCAATTAAGCATCCAGCTGTCCGTCCATCCAGCACCATGAATGCTGAATGACACACAGCTTCTCCAGCAACAGATGCTGCCATTCTGTGAGGGGAAAGCTCTTGGTGATTTCAGCACTGCAAGTATTCTAAAGTCAAAATGAACATATTATAAAATGTATTTAAAAAAGTCATCTCCTGATGTGTTTTCTTGATGTGTGACGTCTTTATATGCACGCTTTCCCACAACCTCACTTCCTCCTTTCACATGAGAAGTGTGTGAGCTGTTACATCACCTATTGGTTTCTTAAATATCCCTTTGAAGCTGTTCAAAAACCTGACAAGAAGTAGTGCACCTTCCAGAAATGCTTAATTATGACAAAACCTATGAACAAATAGATAACTTAGGCCTTTCAAACCTCAGTGAGCCAGTCAACAATTATTCAAATTACACCTTTGATGGTTACTGGCCTGAATACAAATGAGCATATGATGGGTAACACCTGCAGACTGCTGCTGAAAAATACTCATGGGCAAAATATCACTTTAAATAAACAGTTCTCATCTTAAGTGGTGATTAAATTGTGTGTGTTTCATGTTTCACTACAGAAAAGTTTGTCTAATGCAGCTAATAGTTCATCACCGTGTGAGTGTGACAGAAGCCATATCAGATTAAAGGAAATGAGTTGATGATAACAAAAACAATTCTGCTTTAAATCGGATAATGCAGAGAATGATGCTGGACCATGTGGTCAGTATGTGTCCCGCTTGGTCAAGTTCAGCCATTTTTGTGAGCTCACGGATCCACAAAGGACACTGCGATGTAGCGGACACCAGAGGTGGTGGGCAGACCTTCGTGGTAGTGAGTGAGGCGGCCCGGGTGCAGAAGGGCCCAGCCTTTACGAGGAGCCTGAATGGAGCAGTCATAGCGGAGGAACTTGCATCCACCACCCTGCAGCCAAGAAACAGTACATATCAACAGCTGATGGCTGTGGCAGTTTTATGATCATTAACAACCCTTCAACAACTTCCTGAGTTCTTCATGAACAGAAATGATACAAAAGCCTTTTTTTTCTATGCCTCATTGCCACAAACTGAAGAGGACAATCAACATTCAGATTTGGGCTGCTGGTAAACCAGCTGTTTGTCTTTTAATGTTTGCATGACGAATGGGTTTATTTCATTCTGTGATCAAAAGAATGAATTTGTAATGATTCGGTATCTGTGGGAATAAAACTAAAATACATGTTAACTGAAACGTAGGTGGAAATGGAGCACTTGACACTCACCTGGTAATCAAGGTCTACTTGGTTGAGTGCAATGTTTACAGTGAATGTGGAGGCATCATGGTGCGGCCTTAAGGAGGGTTGCTCATCTGGCTTATATCTAACTACAAAGGCCAATTCGAAGTGAGCCTGCAAACACACAGAAGGAAAAGAATCATGCAAACGTTTGCCTGTAGCCCCCTGTACACAGATACACTCCAGTTTATTGAATAAAAGCAGAATCCTGGTTCTTGGTCCAGCATTCGCCTCCAGAGATGGAACAGAATGTGTAGCTGTCATGATGTGGCATGAGAGGGGTCAGGTTTCTGTCCCACTACACTAAATCGACTGGAGTGTAACACACTGATGATAAGACATGCTGGTCAGTAATACACACACAGGATAGCAGCACAGAAACAATGAGAGGTCGGCTGTTATCCTGTTATCCCTTTACTCAACAAGTTCATAACATTTAACGGCTGATTTTGTTGATCGTGGCTCAAGAGTTGGGAGTTCGCCTTGTAATCGGAAGGTTGCCGGTTCGAGCCCCGGCTCGGACAGTCTCGGTCGTTGTGTCCTTGGGCAAGACACTTCACCTACCGCCTACTGGTGTTGGCCAGAAGGGCCGATGGCGCGATATGGCAGCCTCGATCTGTCAGCCTGCCCCAGGGCAGATGTGGCTACAACTGTAGCTTGCCTCCACCAGTGTGTGAATGGGTGGATGACTGGGTGTGTAAAGCGCTTTGGGGTCCCTAGGGGGGGGGCTAGTAAAAGCGCTATACAAATACAGGCCATTTACCATTTGTCCTCCGGTTGTTCTAGCAGTTAAATAACCAGATATCAAAATCATCGGTCATCACCTGATCATTCTAGCAGCTTTCCAACATCTCAGAAGAGATGCAGTTACATCTGTCATGGCCCTTTTTTGAGACACTCCGGCTAGGCCGGCCATGCCCCACAGCTTGCATATAAGTGTTCCCAAACCACTACTCTTATCGTTAATGGTGGTGTGTTATGACCTGGGAAGCCTGAGTAAAACTCGCAACACGCGAACAAGCCGGGCTCCCCTAGGAGGACAGAGAAGCTCTTGCTCGCTGAGCTAATGCATCAGCTACAGCCGGGTCCCACTGGCCAGGTAAACCCGTGACGGCGTGGGCAGCCCAAACAGACTAATGATTAAGATGGCGGATGTAGCAGGTGGTGGTGCAGACGTAGCTCCGACTTTCAAACGGTCACGATTAAAACCAGAGATATATAAAACAACTGATGGAACAACTGAGCACTCAAAGTAAAGTGCTTTGAGTGCTCAGAAGAGTAGAAAAGCGCTATATAAGAACCAGTCCATTTACCATTTAATTGTAGAGGATAAGCTACTTAATTTCCTTGCTGTAAACATCAAAACTTTAAGTCAGGATGAAATTGTGTTGTTGGCCACGAACACATTTGAATCCGAGGGGATTGAAGCCTCCAAGAAAGTTTTGTTTGAGCTCTGCCCCACTACCTCACAGCGGTGCGTTGGATATAAAGGACAGCATAAAGACGCCAACAATATTAAACTCTGTCTTAAAGTGCTGAATGAGTGTGGGGAGAATATCCCAAGATTGGTATCTCATCACCTGGATGATTTGCCGCCTGTTACATACTCCAGCATGGATGTGTGTTGTCTACTACGGCGAATGGACCAGCTGTGTGCTGAGGTGGGTGCTTTAAAACATGTAGTTAAACTACAGGCGGATGTCTGCGAGCAGGTTATGACCAATGCTGTGGAGGTCGACCAATGTGTGACTGCTCTTGAGTGTAGGTCTCAGGTGCCGGCTGAGCCTGTTACTCTGAATGCTCGGGGGTCGGGGACCGCTTCGAAACACGCAGAGGAGCGGTGGGGGAGTCGAAGTAAAGGCGGCCCGCGCGGAAGGCAGGGAGCCGGAGCTTTGGCTGTACAGCTGATGGACATGCAGCTTTAGCAAACATGTCTATTAGGTATGAGGTAACTGTGTCAGACCATATACCTTTTGGTTTTACTGTGAATGTGGAACAAATGCCAGCAACAACTGGAAATAATATTGCTAATATTGCTACCAGTGTAAAATTAGACTGGTCAGCATTTAGTGAAGATGATTTCTTAGCTTATCATAGTAATACCGATATACATCTGAACAACATTTCTTTGCCCAAAGAAGCTATTTTGTGCAAGGATGTCAACTGTAAGAATGCTGTGCATAAACATTTACTCTGCTCCATGTATGATGATATAGTGACTGCTCTGTATGAAAGTGGAACACTGCTTGATAAACAATATAAGCATAAGAAACCTAACATCAGACCTGGCTGGAAAGAACATGTATCCATGTACCATGTTGAAGCTCGCATAGCTTATAAATGTTGGGACATGGCTGGAAGACCTAAACAAGGCCCAGAATTTGAACAGAAACAATGTGCGAATGCCAGATATAAGTATGTTGTTCGCTTTATAACTAAAACTGAGCAAATGCTGAGAGCAGATTCTTTGGCCAGGAAAATGCTGTGTAATAATATGACAGATTTTTGGAAAAAGGTGAAAGCTCTTTATAACTTTAAACCATCTCTACCATCAACTGTTGAAGGTGTTTCTGGGGCAGATAACATTGCAGCGTTATGGAGACAGCATTACAGTGCGGACAATTTGGACAATCGGGGACAATTTTTTGTCAAACAGCTTTTTTTCACTTCTAGTTAAAGTGGCTTTATTAAAAGCGTATTGCACACCGCTATATACTGCCCCCTTGTGGTCATCCTACAAACAATGTAGCATGCTGAAGCTGCATGTTGCATATAATGATGCGATGAGAATCCTTTGCAGGATACCTAGAAGGGGTAGTGCCAGCCAGATGTTTGTAGCTGTGGGTGTTTGGACTTTTAAAGCACTTTTAAGAAAGTTAATGTTCAATTTTAGAGAACGACTGGATGGTTCGAGTAAAAGTATAATTTTAGCACTCACAGATC